CCATATTGCCAAGGTTTTACGATTTTACGAAGGATGTTTGGACTTCTACAAAATATGTATTTACTTTAATTAGGTGTTTTACGTGCATTGTTCAAATTGTTGGGAATTATCCACTTTCAGAACCTCACTACATCACTGAAGTCAACAGTTCTTGGTCAAATAGGATAAGGTGGTTGGAGAAACTGTCATAAGTTCTTGAAATAGTGATGGAAATTCAAGAGAATAATTAATCGCTTTATGGAATCTGAATCCAAGCAAGAGTAGGAGATAAGTTGAAAAGAAATTCCTAAGGAAGAAAAATTGTAGCAGTAGTTTATTTCATCTACATGGAAATTCAGGAGAATAATTAATTGCTTTATGGAATCTGAATCCAAGCAAGAGTAGGAGAAGAAAAGAAATTCCTAAGGAAGAAAAATTGCAGCAGTAGTTTATTTCATCAACTCCAGTAAGGGATTCTTATCTTTGTCCACTTTTATGACTTCCCAATGATTATCACTTTGTCCTTCAGTCTGCAATAAATCATGCCTACAATTTACATAGTGCTCAGCACTTTTTTTTAAGTGGGATTTCCTTGGTCCTGTTGCATCATATCTAGCATTTCCATATTATTTGGCATAGCAGTCATTTGATTTAGCCATGCCATAGATAGTAACTGGGCTCTTTTATTGGCTTTTTGCTCATCATGTTCTTTACTGGTGCAGCAAGCTTTATGTGCTTTAAGCTTGGTGTGTTTTTCATTTACTTTATTGATTGCTCATACTATCTTTCTGTAATCGTTATCTACAGGGAATGTGCACATTGTCTCTCTCAGCGTCAGTTCCTGCCTTTCGGCCTGCTGAATGTGTGGATTCTGTATGCCCTTCAGCTACTCCTGCTCAGCATGCCATATTTTTTATTGGCCTATATTTGATAGCACTTGGAACTGGTGGGATCAAACCATGTGTTTCATCATTTGGTGCTGATCAATTTGATGATACAGATCCAAAGGAGAGGGCCAAGAAGGGGTCCTTTTTTAATTGGTTTTATTTCTCAATCAACATAGGGGCTTTTGTTTCAAGTAGCTTGATTGTCTGGATTCAAGATAATGCTGGGTGGGGCCTTGGTTTTGGCATTCCTGCTGTGTTTATGGCCATTGCTATTGTGAGTTTCTTTTCTGGCACTCCTCTTTATAGGTTTCAGAAACCTGGAGGAAGCCCAATCACAAGGATGTGCCAGGTTTTGGTGGCTTCATGTCGTAAGTGGAGTTTGCCTGTTCCGGAGGATAGTAATCTTCTGTATGAGACACAAGATGAATTCTCGGCAATTGAAGGAAGTAGAAAGCTGTTTCACACTGATGAATTAAAGTGAGATTCCAAATCATAACCCTTCTTGTTCAATCAGATTTAAGTTATCTTGTTACTTCCTTGTTTACATCGCTGACTGTGTTTTGGCAAGTTTTTTTATGCTACATTTACATTGACTGTTTTGTTGTACTTTCTATTTTTTTCTTTTGGGGTGGGGAGAGAGGGGGGGGGGGGGGGTTTGGTAATGCCAGGGAAATATTCTACATGGAGTCCTCTTGTTGCATTCACTTTTTCACTTAGTAATCTGGTGTTGCAAGTGACTCAATTCACCTCCTCTTCCCTAGGCTTGCATCTTTAGATTCTTAAAACGATTGTGTAGATTTTCTTGGATTACATTGCTCAAATCAAGTAAATTGCACCAAACACCGTTGTTATTGCATTTTGAATTGTGGATAGTTGTTTACAACATAGACTGTTTTATTCCAACTCAGAGAAAAATTAAAGACACCATTGAGAAAAGATTTAGCAATTTGGTGGTCCATGGAAATGCGCTATTTGAGAGATTTGCAAAATTATGCTACATTAATAAACATTTTCCTGGTCAATGCAAGTTCAGTTGTTCTACATTGACCAACTTAGTTTCTCACTAGAGATCTGTCAAAAAGTGGAGTAGAATTTGATCCCATTTTCTTTGCTTTCCAATGGGTCTATCTTCATCATGTGCTATTTGTTCTGCAGATGCCTTGATAAAGCTGCTGTAATATCAGAAGCTGAGATCAAAACTGGTGATTTGTCCAATCCTTGGAAGGTTTGCACAGTTACTCAGGTTGAGGAACTGAAGATCTTAATCCGGATGTTTCCCATCTGGGCAACAGGAATAGTGTTTTCTGCTGTTTATGCTCAAATGTCAACCATGTTTGTGGAGCAGGGGACGATGATGGATACTTCGATCGGTTCCTTTACAATTCCTGCAGCTTCTCTTTCAACATTTGATGTTATCAGTGTTATCTTTTGGGTTCCAGTCTATGACAGGATCCTGGTCCCCATTGCTAGAAAGTTTACTGGCAAGCAAAAGGGATTTACAGTACTGCAACGGATGGGAATTGGTCTTTTTGTTTCTGTTTTCTGCATGGTTGCTGCCGCTGTGGTGGAGATTAAGCGACTGCAACTCGCAAGAGACCTTGGACTTGTTGATGAAGCTGTTGCAGTCCCACTTAATATCTTTTGGCAAGTACCTCAATATTTCTTATTGGGGGCTGCTGAAGTTTTTTTCTTCATTGGTCAGCTTGAGTTCTTCTATGACCAATCGCCAGATGCCATGCGAAGTTTGTGCGCAGCCTTGTCACTTCTGACAACTTGTTTGGGAAATTACTTGAGCGCTCTCATTCTGACCGTAGTTACAACCATAACCACTAGAGGAGGAAAGTTTGGATGGATTCCAGATAACTTGAATGAGGGCCATCTTGATTATTTCTTCTGGCTCTTGGCTGGTCTAAGCTTCTTGAACATGGTCATCTATATCTTTTGTGCCAAAGCATACAAGTCAAAGAAAGCTACTTAAGGAATCTGGAAGGTGATCCACATTGCCAATTCTGTAAAAAGGTTTCCACGGATGGATTCGGTTCGTGGTTTTACTCTTAATCGCCACGTTGTTCCAGTATTGCTATAACAAGAACATAAAGGACCTTTTGTACCATATACTAGAAGAACAATTTGCTCAAACTAGGTAATTATACTCTTCTTGATGTATCCAGACAAAACAAGTCAAATGGCTTTTATTGGTGTACTGTCTATTTACTTCTGCATTGGCTGTAATGGGATTTGTGGTTGGTGGTGGTTATTATGTTTGAAATTGGTCTAGCAAACTTTGAATAGACTTGGTCATGATCATGTTGAAGGATCTGGAGTTCTGCACTTGTTTCTCTACCATGAGCTCTGGCACTTATGATCTCTATATATGAAGCGTTAGCACCAGTTTGGCAAGTGAAAACAGACTCCCATTTAAAAGCCTGATCAAACTTCCTTCACATCAGTAGTTAGAGCAAGGACTAGGCGCTAGGCAAGTAATATTAATGAAAGACCTTGAAGCTGTTTGCTTCGAGCAGAGTAGATCCTGAAGCTGAATGTCATTGAGACTACTCAAATTTGATGGCTCCACTAAAACCAAAAAAATAAAAAATAAAAAATAAAACTATTACTACAATGCAGAATGTTCTTTACTACGACAATTTTTTGAGGTGAAGGGATGCTATTGATTAATGAATAAGCTACTAAATTTTTTGGAGTCACAAAAACGGTAGGTGTAATCTTCTTTCCAAAAGAAAAAAAAAGAAAGAAAGAAAGAAAAAAGCAAAAGCAGCAGCAGCAGCTATATACTCTAGGACTGATAAACATGAATAGGAGAAAGCTCGTGAGAAGTAAAATTCGCAACGAACGAGAATGGGTAAGAAATTACATGCAACCAGATGGTTTATAATGAAGTTCTTGGAACTTTAGTATAGGAGTCAAATCCAAATGAAACACAGGTTTAATTTAATAAAATATAAGACAAAGCCCCTTAAGATTACTAGCATTAATCATTTTCCCAGTGTTTTTTTCACTCCATTTTTATTAGCTTTTTTGCATAAGTTATAAAAAAGAAAAAGTTTTTGACAAGTTTTTAAGAAGGTTATAGTATAATACCCTCTTTCTTTCTAGTGTAAGTAGTGGAAGGATTTGCGGCAGGGACAGTCATCAGTATGACCGTCCCTACACGGTTAAGGGTCAAGATTTGCCCTCAAAATTTTGTGCGGCTGAGATTACACCATATAACTCGATTTTCGCGCCAAATATGAGACCCACCACTATCTGTTGTGAAAATACATCCTGTAAAAAAAAAGTTACACGATGTACAAAGAAAGTTACGGCCAGTTGATAATGACCAAAATTGGCAGGGACGGTTGCAGGTGCAACAGTCCGTGCCCCGAGTCCGTAGTGGAAGTGTTTGAATCCGAAACCTCTCGCTTACACTCCCTCTCCTAAATCACCTAATCCGTCCCTTCCTTTTTTTGAACAATATAGTACCCCGTTGAGAAGCAGTATCATGATTCTTTTCTTTTTATCTATTAAACATTTACTGGGCTGGTTGTTTTTCATGTAAGCCACAAGGCATTCTTCATTGCACTTCTTTCTGGAGAATGAACAAACTCACTCACTCACAAAGACAGACCACACACATTCTTGAAGGAGAAAAGAGGAGCAGATACTTGGAAGTGGTTCGAACTTATGAGGCCATTGAGTCCTTGATTTTGTTTGCCTATCCGCTCAGAAATTTCTTGTTCTACAACCTCACAATTTTCACATTCAAAGTTTTCTTTGTTCCTTCTCGAACAAAAGGAACCTATGCTAGAGAATTGGGAATTCGGTAATTTGCTCAAATACACCCAGCGAAAATACTGGCTTGAAAACTAAACAAGGAAAGAAAAAGTAACTAGTAATAATCCTCAAACAGCCTGTAGAACCAGCTGGATCAACAAGAGTCTAGCACAAACAGACACATGCACTGAAACCTAACCGACCAGTTTTAGTGAGATACCCACCTCAAGAATTGTAAATACCTGTTTCACAATTCAACAAGGACAGGCTAACGCTCCACAATATTATCATTCTCGGTTGAAGTAAAGAGCACTTTATCTAATGCAAGCTCAAAAATGAAAACAACGTAAAAACAGGATACCAAAATCGAAAGACTCCCACAAACACGTCTCTTTTGCAAACCAACATTCAAAGCAACTAAAACAACGTAACAGGGCTCTGGGCAACAGGTTACAGGATCACTGATCCAAAAATACCATTTTCTACTATTGCCACAAACACTAGACATGCCAAAGTCAATGTCAACAGGTCCACAATTGTTGACATTTACCACAACGCAACATCATCATCATCATAGACAATATAATAGCTGTCCATTATTCACCGCAAACACTTTAATAGTAGCCATAGAACTAATAGTAGCCATGTTCTATGGAAAATACTGCAGACTTGACGCAATCCCACACCATACATCCTACATAGAACTACTAAATGTAAGTTTCTCTCTCAAGAAAGTACATGGAATATGCTTCCAAAACCAACTGCCCAAGGAGCAAGCTCCTCCAATGCTTCTTGAGTATCTTTAGTACTTAATTCTTCCAGCAAGCAAGTTGATTATCAAACAGTGCAACCTTCGTATCACCTCCCAGTAGAAACGTGGGAGGGACTGGTAAATTCTTTTCACCTGATACTTCATATCTGTCCATTAATCAAAACATGCAAAACACATTAAGCTAACTAATGTTCAAAACAGCAAAGATTAGCATCAACAACAATTAGTAATGTTAATAGTATCTGCAAAAGATGGAACATGAGTGATAGGAAAAAGAAATGCCAATTGACCTTTATATAACTCCTTGAAATCTTTCAGGCACTAGCACCATATCCGGATGAACCTGCGCGAGCCCTTGCGCACTGGTGCAGGCTTGGTGCTGCCTCCCTGCACCAGCATTTAAGAAGTTAATTGATTGCTATTCAGAATCATCGTAAACTTCTCCTTCATCAGACAGCTCATCAAAAGCTCGAACATCAAGCTGGTATCGCAAGATCCCTCCAATTCCTCCAAAACCTCTACAAAACTGAGATCCCTCTTGTGACTTGTTGGTGACGAACTCCAGAGTGCAGCCAAACCGTTTATACTCGTTAGCAAACCACTCAAGCAAGGAGAGCTTATCCTCAACCTCCAGGTCAGAATTACTAGCTGGGTCCCTAAAGTTGTTCTGATCAGCCTCTTGCTCCTTATTAAAGTGCTTAACAAGAACTTCACCTGTGGAAATATTCTTTAGAGTATATCTAATCACATCCAGGTTTTCCCACACAATGAGAGTCTCAACAGCACCCATCTCAAGAACTTTTAATGTGTCATCCACACCAAACACGTACTTCCCAGTATCCTGACTTATCTCCTCAAAATATTTGCCTATCAAACGCTTCTCCTGGATAAACTTGACATTGGATAAGATTTCAGATGACAACTCAATTGCCTGATTAAAACCATTTTCACCGCCATAAGAGACGTCCACCACATTCAAAATTTTTGCCTGAAGACGGGGATCAAACATGTCAGACTGACTAAGTTCGGTCTTAAAGTCGGCTGATCCAGCAAGAATTAGTCCTGAGACATTGGGTTGACTTGTTGACGGATTTATATAGAACTGAGTAGCAAGTTCTGCAGTCTTCCTGACATAGTTATGGCGCTTCTCCATTCGAAGACGAGCAAACCGGAGAGCTGACTGCCCTCCTCTTCCATGCTTCTTGGGGAGGTCAACGCTAAACTTGTGAAGGACCTCCCTTGTATTGCCACTCAAAGTTCCAAAGAGTGTCCCATTACCATCCATAACAATGAAGCCAAACTTGTCATCAGATTCTAGAAGTTCATTCAGCGCTTCTGTATGGAACTTGTTGTCACAGAGATACAAAGACGCATTGATAGGTCTAAAAGGCTCAAAATCAATGGTGACCTTCTTCTCCTTCCCATCATCAGTCACGATAGTTCCAGTGTAAAGCACAAGCCCATTGGGTGGTACTTTATTGTAAAGCTTTAGTCTTTGCTGAGCAGATGTAATCGCAGCCAGAACAGATTGTCGGTTCACCCTACTTTTAATGTTAGATGCAGTTCCGAATTCATCTCCAAGCATCTTAGTGACTCGTGATATTTGATCACGTGGAGGCATAATAAGAGAAATCATGCTCGTTCCATTACCTCGAGCTGCCTCAAGTGCTTTTATGAGTTTCTTAATCTTCCATATCTCAATATTCTTATCAGTTTCATGAGCATCAGCCATTGCAGATTGAATCAGTAAGCTGCAAATACAACAAAAAACATACATCAGAACAGGATATTTCTCACTTGATTAAGTATCAAAACAAAACAGAAATCAGCTATATGAAATGGTATTTGAAGAGTTTCTTTACGATATGAAAAGAAGCCATCCCATAGGTCACATCTGAAGTCTGAAATGCAATCATGCTCTGAACACCATAGAATCTCATGTCTCAAACAGTGAAAAGGATAAGAAGCAAGAGGTTCACTTTTATATTTTTTGTCTGTCATAATTGGCAAGAAAAGCTACGAGGAATTTGTGAAAAAAAAAAAAGAGAAGGGATTGAATGATTTAACAACTTCCCCCTCAGAGATTCTGGATGGTCCAAAATTTCCTCACAGATGTTGAGGAGCAAAATCAAAAGACATAAATCCAAAATCTTTTTATTTTTTTCTTGAACGCACGACGGGGAAAGAACTCAATAAAGCATCTCCTCCTTTCCTTCTCCCGCAAAACTTCAAAATGTTCACTTTTTATTTCTTTCCTAATATCCTAAACTAAGCTAGGCCAATCAACCTAAACAAACACGATTGCCCACAAGCATATACAAAATCTTACTTAAAAAAAAAAGAGACAGAAAAAGAACAAGACATATAACTCCAAATTTTCCTGGCAAACAATTTAACGCTTGATTTACGAAGATAGAGAACCTATCCAAACAAATTCGCATACAAAACATACACAAATCAACAAATAAGCAACAATCAAGCTCTAAAATCGTCAACAAAATGCCCAATAAAATTATCTGCAGAAAACCGACAAATCATCGGCGTGTCATGATAAAATTTGTAGATCTAGAACTACACCAGTCAAACGATTATCAACAGGACAAAAGACGGAAAAAATTGAACAAATCAAACGAAAAAATCTCATAATTCAGGTAGGAAAACACAGAGACAACTGGGGCAAAAATTAGGGCTTGAGAGATACCTCCGTAGAGAGAACAGAAAGCTTGAGATGTACGCGGCAGCAGAAGGCTTGTTTGTGGAAATGTACCCAAAATGCGGAGCTCTATATATACACAGGGAAAGGTCGGTTTGAAAATATGAGCTGGGAAAATAATTAGTATTGAGATTATAATGAAATAATGGGAAATAATTTTGAGAATAAAAAGTGTGAACCACAAAAAAAAAAAAAGGAAAGTCAAATCAAATAGAACTTCCTAGCCTAGCCCACTGGTGATTGGGTTTTTTGTTGGGTAATTGAATTTTCTAAGTCCACACATCATAGATATACATTGTTGAAATGGGACTGGCCAAGAAAGATAAATTTTGGAATGAAGGAGGAAAAACTTCCCATTTTATCCAAGAGAAAAATTAATGGCTTTTTACTTTGTGAAAAGTTTTTAAGTGTGGGATCGGTGTAGTAGAGTGCCTAGTTCTTTAGAACGTGCAAGTGGAAAGTTGGATTGGTGCTGTAAGAAAAATTAATTGTATATATGTCAAATTCAATGCTTGAGGTATTTCAACACTTGACTTGATAAGTATTCTATGAAAGAGTGTAAACGAGGCGAATTGATTTCAAGTAGTGTCATGTTCAAGCTCGACTTGATATAGCACTGTTCGAAATCAGATCGAGTTCGATTCGTTGAGGTTTCCGATATGCTCAAGTTCGACTTGTTTGGACAAACTTGAGACTAATCGAGCAAACTTGAGCCTAATTGAACCCAAGCTCGAACTTAGTGTATTGAGCTCGATTAGAATTTTCTTGCAACGTTTTTTTCTTATTTACCTTCCAAAAATGAAAATTTCCAACAACAAGGGTGACTAACTGCAAGCAATCCAAGAACTTAAACAGAATATTATGAAAGAAAAAAAAAAACAAAGAAAACATGATTGCTAGTAGGGCACCCAGCAAACCAATACCAAAAGCTACAGAGTCATCAACATATTCAATATTTCAATTTGACAAGTAAAACATCTCATAACTAGGCTGTCAGCCCGTCTACATTCTAGTAGCAATACCCATCGTACACGAAAAGCAACCAATTACAAAAGAGTTGTCCTAGAAGTTAATCTTTTTGTCCCAGCAGCAGTCACAATTCATGACCAAATCAGAACACAAAAAGCAGACTTTTCCCTAACAGTTCTAAACATCCGAAGACTGTATTAGCCATTCTTTTAGACCTTTCCTTCCTTAAGACAACTTTAAAAGTTGTGAATGAGTAAATAAATGCAAGAAAATAGGGATGAGCACAAGCGCATTACAAATCAAATGGTATTGAAATATCCACAAGAAATAAAAACTAGACCTAGAGCACATGAAGGTTGCATCAATAGGGAATAGGAATCGCAATTTCTTTGGGATTTTTCATATTCTGCCAAAAAAAAGAAAAAAAGAAAAAAGAACGTGTAAATACATCATTAATGAACAACATAGTTCAACATTGAATAACTTGTTTAAATAAAAGGTGAAACTTGCTTTTGCTTTCTTTTTTATTCCACACATATTTCTACATCAATCAACCCCGCATATCAAGGCTTGAATAGTTTTTGGAGATAGCAGAAGCCGTGATAAGCATCTATGACTCTTGTCCCGAGACTAAATGTGGCCTCTAAAGAAGGGAAGAGGGGCAGCGACGGTAACTGTCCCTGTCAGTTAATGACCAAAATTTGGGCAACAAAATTTGTCAGTAAGGTCCAGATTTTAACATGCGCAAGAACTATAAATGTTGTACTAATGTTATTCGCTGTTATTCTAATGTTACATCGTATATAAATGATATTACATCGTATGTAAAATATACACAAGCTTTCGAAACGATTGCACTGACAACCGTTTCAGTCCCGGGTCCCTAAAAAAGCTACTGTACTTATAGAAATGGACAAGGGGCACAAACGGTTGCAGGTGCAACCGTTTGTGCCAGTTGTATTCATTTTTCACTGCGCGTAACTTCCATTTCACACGATATAACTTACTTTGCACACGATGTAATTTTACAACACTTTTTTGTAGACCTCACACATGACGTGAAAATCGAGTTACATGCTGTAATTTGAGCCGCACAAATTTTTGAGACCACATCGTGACCGTGAACTTTCAGGAACCGTTCCCGCCCCATTTCCTATAGAAATCGCCAAAATGTCAGCAGCCATTTAGGACAGAATAGGATATGTCATCCTATTTCGCTTTCACTAGATCAGGCAATCAAATTCTTTTGATTTTGGTCCAGCCTTATGGTGAGACACTGAGACTTGTCCAAGTAGTCCACTGCTTCTAACTTTTGAGCCTCAATTGGTTCAACTTCCTTCAAATAATCATTGAAGTCAGCCCATCTACACGAGGATGCCTCCGGTCCATCTTGGTTACCAAAACTTCCAGCTTGTGCTTCATGTACTCGCCGTCTTTATTGGGAGCCACATCTTCTTTATATAGATCAAATACCGTCATTTTAACACTTGCCACAGTCTTTTGGGCTTCATGAGCAGGATATGTCCTAGGAAAGCTGAACTCTATAGCTGCCATTTTTTGCCTCAGGTCAAGATTAGCCACGATTGATAGCACCGTGTTGCACTGTCCCCGGTATTTATCTAACTTCAATTTCATCTTAATATAAGTCTCCTGGGTGGTCGTCAAAAGTTGCCGACTTTTGACGATTGATCGGGGTTATAGGTTTGTTTAACGAATCTCTTGAGGTTTCTCAAGAAGGTGAAAGAAATTTCATCTTAATATAAATTATCAATACCTAATATAATTTTTAATACTAATAATACAAATTATCAATACTCGTGATACGAATCATTAATGCATTAGGAGTGTGGGTTTACGTTGTAGGCTGTAGAGATGCGGATTTAGGCTGTGACTTTGTTTAGGGATAGACTAAATCCACATCTCTATAGTAACAAATGCTCGTGTTTTGGTAAATTTGGATCTGCTTTTCCAATTCTGCTTATATTTGTAAACTCAACTGCTTACATACAACATGCAATTTTTATCAAAACTTTTGGTCAATGGAGCACTTTCGCCGTATGTTCAAAATTGGTGCTTTTAGAGTAATTTTTATAGTTAAAAAAAATAAAAAATTAACTTTAACAACTTTATTATAAATTTTGAACTAAATTGAGAGGTAAACATATTTTAAGAATCCAGGATTTGTACATTATCAAATAGGAAAAATAGTTATGCACTCAAACAATATGATTAAGGATTTGAGTACTTTGTTGTAAAGCTCTATCTATTGATTAAGTAATTTTTTATAAGCCACCTCAATCCTATCAATGACCTTATGCAAGTGTCAGGAAAGGTATTTAAACTCGCAAACTTCAAAAAAAGTTTTGTTTTCTTTCTAATTTTTCATTTTTCGTTTTTTCCTTTTTCTTTTTTTGTTCCGTATTTGACATCTACTTTTGTGTTTTTCGGAAGGCTGCCAAGGCGCTAGGGGAGGAAGTTAAAACTCTTTTTACGTTACTGAAGATAAAGTCCTTTTGAATTCAGTTTTGTCATTGTTAGAATAGATAATCTGCTGAAAAAACTAAGTTTGATTGCAAAGGGTCTTTCATGTATTTGATGAAATGCTTTATCCATCCTTAATTTGTGTTCATCACATGCAACATCCACGAGTCAGCTGTTTTTGTTAAGCAATTCTTGTTTATAGTCGTAACGAGTCCTACCACAAATCACACTGGTTTGGATAACTTTCGAGATCAGAATGGCAGTTGAAATTTCCTATGTGAATGAAACATATAGTTACAACACTCGATAAAGGTAGCATGTAACTAGGTTAAGTTGCTCTGAGAGTCCATTTGTTTTGGAAACTGGTCTTAAAATTGCTCAACTCCATTTGCTTGGGTATTTCCAAATTTTATGCTGCCTTCCACATTCTGCTTTTTTCGTATAAATAGGTTAAATTGCTGATAAATAGTTAATTAGTTATAGGGGAGTTTTACAGTACCTTTTAGGTATCGTACCTATGAGTATCAATTTCATCGTTGGATATGTGAAACGAGATATCAGCTCTCAGATGATTTTAGGAGTTTAAATTATTGAATGATGTAAAAAAAGTTTATTGGATTACAATTATAAATATAATATCCAAAAGGGCTAATAAAATTTTCTTGAATTATATAATTCTTGACAAGTAGCAAGTACATCGGGTGTGCCTCAATAGCTAGTCATATATAATATCCAAAGAATTTATAGATGGGCCATTCTAACAGTGGTTGTTTGCTGTTCCTAGGCTCTTTCCTGGATGTAATTCTAACAAGGTCTCATTTTTTTTTTTGCTGTTATTTTGTTTGAGGGTTTTGTTCTGAACTCTGTGATCATGCAATTCTTGGGAAACTAGGATTCTGCCAAATCATGGGCATTGTTTTGATGCAGTATTCAATGAACAGAGCATGTCATGGCAAACGTGTTAGGGCCTGTTCTAGTTGCATTTTTTGGCTCCTTCTTCAGATTTCGGTTTTCAAGGATTTCTTTTATCAATGCTGTGATTAACTCTTGGCTGATTATCAATGCTGTGATTAACTCATGGGCATTGTTTTGATGCAGTATTCACTGAATAGAGCATGTCATGGCAAACGTGTTAGGGCCTGTTCTAATTGCACTTTTTGGCTCCTTCTTCAGCTTTCGGTTTTCAAGGGTCTCTTTTATCAATGCTGTGATTAACTCTTGGCTGATATCGTCTTGTGCATGAGACATGCCCTTTTTTAGTTGCTTCAAGCCTCTACGTCCATATAATCCCTCCAGTCATTGAAAATGATTAATCTGGCATTTGCTTATACCTTGGCTATACTCTTGTAGTTGCATGCCCAAGGTTTGGCTAATCAAAATTCTGCTGTTTCTGCTGCTCATGTTGTTGAATTGGCTACCAGTTTCTGGCACATCTTAGGTACTAAAATAAAAGAAAACGTAACGAAATATTATCTCATTAAGCAAAAAGATTAACTTGAGAACAACTATGTATTATGAGATCATCAAGTTAACATGTACAAAGAAGAGGATCAAGAGATTTACTCAAAACTATCGAGCATCTAACATCGTGACGGTGAGTTGATTGCTAGAACTATCTGCTTTCGTGCTTGATAAACTCTTCTCAGGTTCAAAAAACAAATTTCTTTGAGTGAAATAGCCAGGCTCTTT